GGAGTCCAGTGGCGGGAGAGACCCACCATCAAGACTGGAGAGCCCTGTCCCAGGGACCCCAGCTGGGCATGACACAGGGGGGCAGGCATGGAGCCCTGCCCTAGTGCGGCAGCAGGAGGACAGCTGCACAGTGCCATCCATGGAAAGCTCCAGCGGGGTGCGGCAGCAGCTGGGCAGCCTTTGAGCTCTGACCCAGTAGAGCAACTGCAGAGCCCAGTCCCCAAGAAGCCCCAGCCAGGCAGGATAGAAGCGAGGCCATGGTGGCTGAGGAGCTCCTTCCCCGGAAAGCCCCATCCAGCTGGTAGAAGCAGGCCAGAGCCAAACCCCAAGCCCTGTAGCTGTTGGGCTGGAGTGGAATCAGCAGGGGAAGGGGCAAAATTCTGGGAGGCTGGTGGCAGATGACTTCCCTTGATTGAGCATATTCCCTCTTTCAGGACTGATCAGGTCCCAAGGGTGCTGGACCAGGGAGGTCCAACCTGTACAAAAGAGGTGATTTCTCAAGAACTCAGCAAAACTACTTCTAGCATTGGTTATGCAAGTAACAAGGCTGGGACAAGGCTTTTCCCCCTCCAAATGCTGGAGGAAGATAAATGTGAGGAAAACACCAGATATTTAAAAGAAAATTGGGATGCCAGCATAATGAACCTACCAGGGGTAACACTGTTGCATCTCCTGAACAGAAAGGACTTATTTCCAGGTCATCCACATGCAAGCTTTGACATCTGTTTGTGAAAGGAAAAAGATCCTTGTAAACAAAGTTTACCCCACATAAGGCAGGTGTCCTCCTTTCAATAGTCAAAGATAAATTCAACATAGCAAGTGAAATCTTGGCTCCAGGCAGATCATTGATTTCAATGAGATCAGGCTAAGATACAAATTTTCTCTGGGTAAGTTGATACCAGCATCAGTTTTGAGGCAACATGCAAAGACCAATAGCTTAAAATAGACCAATAGTTGCTTTTCCTCTCTTAGCAATGTCACTGAGAGCAGGGCATTTTTCATGGGTATAAACCAAATTGACTGTGCATAAGCGAGCTTCACAGGAATAGGTGTGGAAGATGGGTTCATTTTGTAGTAGCTATTACTGCTTAAGGCCTCTACTAGACAATGGAGCTA